GAAATTTTGTGAAATATTTTATCCCAAAATTTGGCTACGCCTTAACCATATAGCCCCTACAACACATGGCAGAGCTTGATTTGTGTATATGAGACAATTCAATGGAGTGAGATACTATTTTTGCATAATTTTTATTGCAGTTTCATGAAATTGGGCTATGGTAAATCTGTATTGGAATTTATTCCAAAAACAGATCTGTTGTTCATCCTGTATGTCTAAATGCCCAGTCCATTTCCTATAACCTTTTAAAGACTGTGCAGTGATTCCATATCTTCCTGGATAAGAAGTTTATAAAGTTCTTTTTTGCTCTAGCAAAGCTTTTTGAAATGTACTCAGGTTTTTATTCCCTTGATATTTTGCATGTTGTTGATTTAAAAAGGTTTCTGTTTGGTAGCACATAAGCCATGTAATGCCTGTGTCTCTAAGTCGGTTCCTCTCCATGTAATTCTACTTGTTTTTCAATTCTGGATGTAAGACAGTGCAAGAGCTTCTAAATCATGGATGGGGAACCTGTGACCCTTCAGATGTTGTTGGACTACAACTTGCATCATCTTTGACTATTGGGGATGGTGGCGGAGGCTGATGGGAGTTCAAGTTCAACAACACCTGGAGGGCCGCAGCTTCCCAATCCCTTTTCTAAATGGACGTGTGTGTGTGTGTGTGTGTGTGTGTGTGTGTGTGTGTAAATATACAGGCTTGGATATTCAGTCCAGCATTTTTTTTCTAACAGCAACCATCATAGGCCTCTGGAAGCTCACCAGCAGGGCATTAGGGCATTAAGGTTATGGCCATTCCCTATGATCACTAGCAAATGGTATTCAGAGGTACACTGCTGCTGATCATGGAGGCTCCATCTGGCTATCATGAATAAATGAACACATTAAGACAATTTTATACTATGTATAGCACAAGTTTGAATTCCTGCTATGCAAATTTTTTGATCTGTAAACAGAAGGGGTGAACAGAAAGAAGCTTAGTAGGTGCATTCAGTTCCAGTGATCACTGCCAGCTTCATAGCTATTATTCCCGGAACTGCTTTCCCCCAACATAATTTCCAGGGATGAAACCACATTATTGGCAAATGGGAGTTTACACTGTCTGCCACATTACTTCCAGACATAATGCATTCTAAAGTCCAATCCACAGCCTGGTTAAATTTTAAAAAGTTGATTTCAGTCTTGTGGAACTCAACCATGTTGGAAATTGCACAGCTAGTTAGGAAGAATCTGAGGAGTGCCTAAAAGGTTTTACACCTGTGCAAGAGGATGGAAGTTGGTGGAAAGAAGTTACCACATTGCAAGCAGTGTTGAATTATAAATGCTCTTCCACAGCGCCTGGCACAGAGGTTTGCCATTTAGAATGAATGCAGCCAGTTGGTCCCTTGCTAACTTACCTCTGCTTTTCACCCCATATGTAAACAGAGTCTTTTCACTGTTATTGACAAAGCTTCTATGGGAGAACAAGGGTGTAAATTAGGCATTTGCAAGACAAGGGAGACCCCAAAAGCAAAGTAGTATTATTTCTAGTATTAGCATATTGATCAATTTCTTTAGGAAATGGAACAGTTTGCTGTATTAGCATATTCTATAATATTTATTTTCTATTATAAGTATTATACTGACAAGGCATTTTTACATCTACTTATGACACTTGCAGTCTGAGATCAAATACAGCTTTACTCAGAAGTAAGCCCCATTGTGTTATAGGATATGTGTACAGCAGGGCTTGGTAACCCATACATTTTTTGGGGGGGGGGAATTGGTTGGGGGCTATATATCAGTGTCAGTGGGCAATCACAAAGCAAAAAGTGAACATGTGAATGTTGCTGAAGCAAGATTGAATATACATTTTAGTCTGTAGATTTTTTATTTGCAGGCAAAGAAAAGGGGAAAGGATTCAAATACTCTGATGCTGAAATTGTGTCAGTTTGTTTTTTTATCACTGTGTTGGATTTTCCTCATGCTCAGTGAAGCCTCCTGCATCCTGGGCTTGGGGATGCAATGTGGTGCTCTGCATGACATTGTGTCACTAGATCTGAGAGTCCTGATCATCTGTGGGTGTATGTGCATTCATCCCTGATAAATCATCTGACTAAAAATAAGCTGATATTCAAAATATCCTGTCAAGCACATGGCAATGTTGTTTTCCCCCGTGGCGGGTATGCTGTTGTTGGCATCTGTCTGTCTCAGGAGACAATGGAAGAGCATGCAGCCTGCTACAATGTGCAAGGATCTCTTGATTGAGCCCATAGTGCAGAAAGTCCATATGTGTGTGTATCTACTGGCAATTTTTCAATAATTCCTGTTGAGCCAGGCATGGAGTAGTTGAAAGACATTGTTTCTGCAAACTTTAAATTAGTTGTGAGGATACTTGGTTTGTTTTAAATGTTTTTACAATTATAATACCTTGTTTTATTGCTCTGTTGTTTGCTGCCCTCGGCTCCTTTGGGAGGAAGGGCAAGATAAAGGTCTTAATATACATAATATGTAGTAGTTGAAATATATTTCCAGGTCTGTCAGCATGCTTCCACACACCAAAGGTTTGATATATAATTATGCAAGTATGTTGCTTCATTTTTGCAATAGGGAAGAAGGGGGAATATGTATCTGCATGAGAAAGAACTTTAAACCATAGATGTGTGGGCAGAGAACACCCACCTTGAAATTTTGAGACATAACTTTTCCAAAAACAAATGTTTGAAGCAGTTTAAAAACATTGTGTTTTTAAGCGAGCAACACTTGAATATTTTCCAGAGCTCTGAGTCACTTGGCCATCCTATTCACACCTTGTTCACCCTGGACCAGCATAAGTTCAAATATGCAGAAAAATGAACTAACTTTTACCATATCTTTTGACCATATCTAGTTACCTCATACTGAAACATTAGTTCTTCTAATTTAGCTTACTCTGGTCTTTACCATTCCTTCTTCCTAAGATTTTAATTTTTTTTTACTAGAACTAGAATTGAATTTGGGGCATGCAAAGCATGCAGGAGCATACCTAGCCATCAGCCAGGTTGCCCCCCCCCCCCAGGGTGCAGGCCCAGTAGGTTGGACAAATTTTGCCGCTGCTTGGCACACCCTGACAAGAGAGCCGAGGGGGCAGTTGTGTGGCACTTCCCTGCCGCAAGAAGCCAGCTCACCACATTCCTGAACACTGGGAATACCAGGACTTGGGAGGGGGAAGGGAGTGGAGCTGGAATCAAAGCTCCCAGGACGATGGAGCACATAGGCAGAGCTGCCTTGCAGAGATGCAGAAAGCGGCGCCATGTGGGAGCATATTTGCACTGAAGCACAGAGATTGGTGGTGGATCCGATAAAAAATGATGCTTTAGAAAGGGATTTGCAGTGTCCTAAAAGAGGAGGAGGAGGAGGATATGGAGAAGTGGGGAGATGAGGGAAACTGTTGACTTGGAATGGGATTGCTCCTCACTGTTGAGGTGTAGGAAAAACAAGACCTTGTCCACACTTGTCCCCTTAGTGTAAAGAGAGAGAGGGGGGGAGGGATAGTAAGTAAACATCTGCAACAAGTGTGAGAGGTTACTTTGCAGCTCCTTGCCATGGGTACAAGTGTGGGGGCACGTTCTGACACAGCTCCTTGCTAGATATGCCTCTGAAAGCATGTGCTCAATCAGTCATCCACATACAGAGCAATCAAAATATTGTTTACGAATTACTGTTTTTCAGTTGGCATCTAAACACACATAAAGAGGAAGAGAACTGTCCTAAATGCTTCAGACAGGGAGTTTCATATGCAGTGTACAGAAAAAAAACCAACCTCTCTCACAGCATGCCTTATTGAATCAGCCACAAAAGCAAAGATGCCTACAAAAATTATTACAAACCTGCTTACAAAAATGGTAAACTGTTTATGCAGAAGTATGTTTTATTTTATTCACTGGGACTAATCCCTGAACAGTGGGGTGTGCACCACCAAGCCAGTCACTGCCAACTGCATTGCAGCTGGGCACTAGAAGAACAAGAATGGGAGGAAGACAGCCAGCCAGGTAACCTATATCAAACATTTATCCACACCTGCATAAAGTCACTGTCACTTAATGCTACCAGGTGAAGGCTGATCCTAGTTATAAATGCTGCAAACTAACCCAATCAGCTTTCTGACTCACAGTGTTTGGTGCATTTGAGTTTCATAGTTAGCAAAGCTTTGTCCTTTGCCACCCTATTTCAAATATGGACTTACTGTACTCCATTAGAGGAGATAGTGGCTAAAGGACATAGCTATGGCAGCACAGTACCTCAAAGCAGTTTACAAAAAGATAAAACAAAAGATAAAATCACAACTGTACTTTAGAACATACAAAAGTTAAAATTCTAAAACAGATTAAATATTTTGATGGGAAGATCATGGGAATTTAATGTATGATTTATACAGAAGTATTTGCATATACTTGTATCACATGACTGTATCAGGCATCTTGTGTATTCATAGTTGCATCTCACCACATATAGGAGAATTATGGATTCACCGGTCTTTATCTAAAGATTCTGGCTTTGAATCATATTTATATTCTTTGATCCCTTAGGATTGGACAGGCTAGTGATAGATTATATAATATCAGTAAACAAAACTGGCTGATAATTAAGTTGAGGCACAATGTACATGCCTCTCTTTCTCTCGCCTGGGAAATAGCAGATGGGAAATCACAGCATCTATGAAGAATAGCTCATGAACAGCACAGTGGGACTGTTCTGTCCTCCCCTTGAAGATTCTGGGCCTCACATCTGGCCCTAGTATGGAGTGAAGTGTGCTCTCGCCATACTTCTGCTTAAACAAACAGTTGTCTTTGGCAAAAATTATAACTGTTCAGCCTCTTTTATATGTCTGGGGTTCCTATTGTGGTGGATTTCCTATTATCTATACACCAGTCCCAGTCCTAAATGATCTTGCAGGACAAGGATATGCATTTCTCCCTGTACTACCCAGATGGCCTTGGAGTTTATTAGCAGCATTTTACAAGCAGTTTATGTCTCTTAACTAGCGCATGGGAGGAATGTTAAAAGCTATCTGTCCTGCAAGATCAACTCTAGTGGTTTATTTCCTTGGCTTCCTAAAATGGCACGATAGTTTAGTTACTTTTTGAAGAAACCTCATTGTAGAATTATAGACTGTAAAGTTGAAAGGGATTCCAAGGGTCATCTAGTCCAATGCCTTGCAATGCAGGAATCTCAGCTAAAGCATTCGTGACAGATGACCATCCAACCTCTGCTTAAAACCCCCCAATGAATATAATACAACCCCCTGAGGGAGTCCATTTCACCGTCAAACAGCTCTTAGCATTGTGTTTAGTTGGACTCTCCTTTCTTGTAACATGAATCCATTGGTTTGGGTTCTATCCTCTGGAGCAGTAGAAAACTAGTTTGCTCTATCTTCCTTAGAACAGCCATTCAGTTGTTTGGATATGGCTGTTGTATTTCCTCTTGGTCTTCTCTTCTCCAGGCTAAATATACTTAACTCCCTCAACTGCTCCTCATAAGGCTTGGTCTTCAGACCCTTTAACACCTTGATCGCCCTTCTCTGCAAATGTTCCAGCTTGTTAATATCCTTGTTAAACTGCTCTGCCCAGAACTGGACACAATACTCCAGGTGCGATCCGACCAAGGCAGAATAGAGCAGCACTATTACTTCCCTTGATCAGGACATTATACTCCTGTTGATACTCATTATAGTTACAACATTGCTTATTAATTTATTGCCTATTCAGGATTTCTGCAACCAAAAATCCTTGTCAATGTAATTAGTTTAGCGGAACATCAGAGAATTATTGTTCTGAAAGCAGAGATAACAAAAACTATAAAAAGCAATATATTTATACAATACTATAGAACTTGAATGGTACAATGTGTCTGCAGTATTGTGGCAGTATTATCTTTTTACTTTTGCCTTCCATTCCCATCTACTTATTAAATATTTGTCCTAGGAAAGGTAGAAAGAGTTTTCTCTTTGTAAGTTTCCCCCACAGTCTTGGAATCCCACAGCTGGAATGAATGGAATTCTCCTACTCAGAAATGTAAAAAGTAAAAATAAAAATCAGACTCTGCTGAGACTGTTTTAGCAGAACGTTGTATGGAGCTTTGTATTACTGGAGAGTGAATGATAAAATAATTAAAAACACTGTCGCCCCAGAAACTCAAATAACTATGAAAATAGCACATTCCTGCTGATCAGAACAGTGGAGAATGCGTTGGTGAAGATCTGCTTGACATGAGCTTGTCTGGCAGTTTTTTGGTAACTACATATTTCTAATGCTCTGTTTTTTGGACTTTCATTTATACCACTTTTTTAATGTGAGGAACGAAAGCTCCCTATGTACGCATGTTAATCACCAAATATCAGTGTTGAATACTGTGAGTGTAAATCAATGTATAAAACTATATTAAGAACTATGCACTACCATGTATGGAGGATGTGGGCTCTCCCACATAGATGTAATATGTGTTTGCTATAGTGCTCCTCAAATGCAGTCAGATTCACAGCAGACAGGTATGTAGGTTTTCCAGAGCCCATGGTATTTCACAAGAAGTAATGGATTTCCTTAACCCTTCAGCATTCTCAATTAGTGCTTCCTGGAGACTAGGGAATCTAATTTAAGTGAAATTTGACTTCATACTTTGGCTAGATAGCTAATATCAGCACATTGTTTTGTTGTTTTTGTTTTGATTATGTACTTTGTGGTTTTATATTCTGAGTTTATCCTGTGAATCATCCTGAGACCTGATTGATCAACTTTATTCTTAAAATGCATAGCCAGTTGGTCACAGTGGAACCTGAAAATTCCGGAGGCACCTTCCCCACAATGGGAGTATCCTCCAGACCATTCAAAAGAACTGCCGGTAGACTATTAGATGATGCCTTACAAACTGTGAAATGAGCCTTCTTTTCAGCCCAAATTGCCACATGGGAGGCTCAATTATGAGCACTTGCCAGTGTTCAGTTCAGAGCAAGTCTTGCACTTTAGTTTTCATCCAACTTGCTTCATAGTTTGAAGCTCCCTAGAATACCAAGTAGCCACTCATGCTACACAATACTGAAGAGAACTTCAGGAGTTATTGTGTCAAATTATAATCCTACCAACAGCTCCAGCAGCAACAACAAGACAATAGTACCCACCCCATAATTTTAGAATAGGTTTCCATTTAGTATTTTCCTGAATGTTTTGTTTTAATTGCTGAATACATAGCATTTTAAATGTAGATAGAAATTGCTCCCTTTAAGTCAACACATCATAGTACATAGTGGTTGATTGAGGCTGAACATTCTGTTTTGTGGGTGTGCTATGCTTAAGACTTTTAACATGTTTTAGATAGATTGCGATTCCATTTTAGAAATGAATTCAGCTATGGGTGGTAAATGGTAGATGTAGTTTCTGCTTATTTGAAATAGTTGACACTTTTATTTACTTTGTACCCTAATCCCCCACAAAAATGAATGAAATGGATGATCTGAGGGTCACTGGCTCCTATTTCCTGTCCTAGTGATAGTAAAGCATGCTGAGAGCAATGCGGAGGAACTGAAAATGAATGTGAAGGCATGTGAAATATGGTAAGGGTCGTGAGACAAGACAATAACTTTCAGAGCTAAAAAATAGTACTTCACTTGGTGTAATCACGGGAGAAAACTAAGATTGCCCTGCAAAGGAGATACAAGGGCTCAAATGTCTTCCTAAATAAGATGGCTTGATGAAATACAAGGCATTGCCTCCATGGCAAAAAACAGAACTGAATGGGAGACAGAATGGTTCAGGAAGATTGTGCTTAATATCCCTGCTGTAACCTAACAAGCTCCTAATTAAGGTCCATGTCTGCACATATAAATCACAATTTCTGCACATATAAAGGAAAATTAAAATCACTGGTCTAAACAAAACCATGGGTTAGTGCAAATGTATAGGCACCTTGGAAGGAAATAGCAGCCACTTCTTTACTTCCTTGCCATTTTGCTGCCTCACTATGCTGAACTAAGCAATAGTTTGGGTTCATATGTTGTTTGAACCTAGGCTCATGGTTTAACTCTCCTGGACAAGTCACAAATCGTAAACCTTGATTACAGCTTGTGGTTTGTCTGGTGAGAACTTTCCTCTTCCAGACGTATTTGTGAGAGAGGGTAAATGTGCATTTGGAATCTTGCAGGGGAAATGAATTTTGATCAGAAAACCAACTTCAAATCCAGTTTTAAAGCTCCCCAACTTTTTTTAATGAGAGAAATTTCACAAGCACTGAGAGAAGAAACTGAAACTTTCTGATGCAAGAGCAACATTATTCATGTCCTCAAGATCTTAAAATTCAGAATGGGGAATGCATCTTATGGAGATCATGTTGGTAAACCAAAAATAGCTTGAGTGTCTTAACAAAAAATAAAATAAAAATAAAAATAATGGTCTGTAGGCAGACTGTGGGAAGAGCCCCAGTACAGAAAGGAAATGTAGCTGGACTGTACAAGGACTGGTAGCTGCATTTTGCAAATAACACAGAATGTAGAATGTGATTACATATGTCTTAATTTCTTGTAAAATGTAATGTTGGTGATGTTTCATAATATGATCAATTCCATTAAGCTTAACTACACCAAACATACTCTCTAACCACATTATTTTAGTTAATTTCATACCTGCTTTGTGGAGTCACCTACTTCTGATCATCACATTTAGATGTTGGAGGTTAATTGCATTGTACTCAAGTGGATAATAAGCCGGAGAAAACCAAACTATAGCTTAATGTCATCCTTAATAAAAAAAATTGTTCTATTTGATAATATAGTAAATGATATTAAGTACATTTTAATACAGCATTTAATCTTAGGTTATGGTATGTACTTAATGTATCTACTCATATGAAATTTCCTGCTTCTGGGAACAACTTGCAGTCACGAGGACTTAAGAAATGGCAGGTAAGTATTCTTGTATTCATGGCTTAATGCCCCTGAGGGGGTGATTCTTAGAGCTACAAACTGTCTTGTGCAGCTTTTTTTCTTTTTTAACTCCCTCAAAGAATATCTAGTTACAGAGTGCTGTGCTGGGAGTACCTGGGGAAATAGTAAAAGGAAACACAGCTGGGAGCCACTGTGGTTTGACTTCACTCCAGATACTTTGAAAATATGCTGGCAAAAACATGATTTTAAGTAAAACTGTTTCCTTTGGTAACATACCCAGAACTGCAGGTTTTACATTTTTGTGCTTTGTGTGTATAGGCCAAGGGTGGGGGAAGGAGTTGTATGAGGATGCCATATATATGGATGGAACTAGGATAGCATTGTAAAAAGAGGATAAGAAAGACCACAAATGTTGCAGTGGAGTGAGTTTTGGTAATGCAGATTTGCTGCTCAAATTGTGCTGTGCATAGAAAGCAGAAACACTAGAGGGAGGGGGAGAGGACCTGTTTAGAATATGTTGTTATTATTATTTTTAGAAATTAAACAAAACTTGCCCCTTCTTCAATGCAAAAATCTGATGGTGTTTTTACGAAATACACTTGAAAGTATAATGTGCTAGGGATGGGAGAGGAAATAAGTTTTGAATGTGAATGTGCTTTCCAAAACAATATACTAACCAAACACAGCTATCCTTTAAAATTCACATTTCTCCAAATTTTATGATGCAGTTTCCCAAACAAATAATGTTTATAAAAATGCACATATAAAGGGAAATGTACATAAGAGTTATCTGCCAGAAAAAAATAACACATGAGGTCACAACCTTGCTAAAGCTAATCAGATCTAGTTTTGTTTAATAGATGGAAGACTGCCTTGGTGGTATATCTATCCTGTCTTGGATTCCTTGGTGAAAATAAGATGGGATATAAATGTAAGAAAATAAATAAATGCCTTGGAACACTTCTTAATTCAGGTACTATGATTGCAAACAAATCCACAAATACAGTGGGCATTTTACTCTTGAATTTAGTGGGCACAGCTCCTTCTGCCATAATTTTCACAAGCCGTGCTCAGAAAACAGTGGTCATCTTGGAAAGAGGATTACCCATCCATTCTTATTGAGATGGTGCACACAGCAGTGTATTCAAATACTTGCATAGTATACATTATACAGTATATATTAATTCCTGAATTCAAAGTGATATAGCATATGTGAATTATGCTTTCTCCATTTTTCCGCAGAAGTCTATAAGGTAGTTGTATAAGCATATATGCAATTAGTTGTTTGAATGTGAGATGCATATGAGCCCCTGGAAGAGTGCTCCTGCACTTGGGTCCTGCTTGCAGGATTCCCATAGGCATCTAGTTGGCCATTGGGAGAACAGGAAGCTGGACTAGACTTAATGGGTCAGTAGCCTCATCCAGAAGGCTCTTCTTAGGTTCTTACAGTTTCATCAAGAAGTGGACAATCTGAACAACAAAACTGGTCAGGAGCATAACCTCTTTTCACTGGTGCAGAAGCTGCTTCCTAAACACCACCACCACCATTTATGATTTCTACCACGCCCATCTGAGTGTGTTGCCCCAGCCACTCTGGGCTGCTTCCAGCATAATAAAAACACAGCAAAGCAACAAACATAAAAAAACCTTCCCAACTCAGGGCTGCCTTAAGATGTCTTCAGAATGTCGGATAGTTTATCTCCTTGACATCTGATGCGAGGGGATTCCACAGGGTGGGTGCCACTACTGAGAAGGCCTTCTGCCTGATTCCCTGATTCACTTATTGCAGTGAGGGAACTGCCAGAAGGAGCTGGACCTCAGTGTATGGGCTGAACAATGGGGGCAGAGGCACTCCTTCAGGTATACAAGGCCGAGGCTGTTTAGGACTTTAAAGGTCAGCGCCAACACTTTGAATTGTGCTCAGAAACATACTGTGAGCCAATGTAGATCTTTTACGACCAGTGTTATTTGATTCCAGTGGCCACTCCCAGTCACTAGTCTGGCAGCCGCATTCTGGATTAGTTGTAGAGTCACCTTCAAAGGTAGACCCATGTAGAGCACATTGCAGTAGTCCAAGCAGGAAATAACCAGAGCATGTACCACTCTGGCAAGACAGTGCACAGGCAGGTAGGGTCTCAGCCAGCGTACCAGATGGAGCTAGTAGACAGCCATCCTGGATGCACATCTTGTATATGTTATCCTGCAAGGTTTTATTTTGGCTTTCAAAAACGTCCTGCACTGTATTCATTAACTCATCTCCATGAAAAGTAATAAACATTTCATCAAGGCATCATTTTGCTTTGTGCGTGAACAAGTGGAAGTTTGGAAGAATGGAATTTGCACACCAGCAACATTTCTGCCTCAATCTGATTTAAAGTGCACTGAGTTAATAGTGAAATATAATCCCTTTTTATTGTCTGCTTTTCCAAACAGCATTCCAGCATTTTTTCAAAACTCCACCTCCTTAATTTAATGTGTTAGTCTCACAGCAAGCTAATTTGGCTGATACCTTCTGCTAAATTAGCATAGTATCTACAGCAGCAGTTTATGAACACCACATAGAATGAGAACCTGCTGAATACCTCTTGCTAAAATTGGTGTGTCCTTTGTCTTCTTAACTAGAATCTCTTCCATCAAACATTCTTTAATTTTCATAAACCTGAATTGAGATCATGGTTTCCTTCAAAAGGCTTTTAGTTTGGTGAAGTTACAGCAGGTGTTGGGCTCTTTCAAGCTCCCTTTTCTAACTACAAAGCAAACTGGCTGGGATTGGTAGAATGAAGCTGGTACGGAGACCTCTACTGGTCACACTGCATAAAAATAGTTGTAGAGATGTTTTGGGACTTTTTTTGGCTTTCACTTGTTAGCTTTGCAGATTCAGGGTCAAAGGTATTATTATGTTATGACATATCTTCATAACATTTGCACATCATACTCTGTACAGGAATAAACAGTACACACAAATCGTGTAACAAAACCCCAACAGCTTTTTTTTAAAAAAGAAAAGTCACAAAGAGAGGGGACAGTTTAGAGCAGAGAAGTGGATGGTGCTTAACCCCTTTCTTGTCTGTTGCTTCTGTGCTCCAAATTGTCTCCTACAGTCACCTTTCCCCTGCTACAACCCTAAGAAGAATTCCTTTGAATTAAGTCTCATTGAAATAAATAGTTGTTCCCCCAAATAAACATGCTTAGAAAAAGCCAGAGCTGATGCAAAACAGAAAATAGATATATATAATTTGTTTTGAAGATTTGCAATATGCTAGAGGCTTTCCATTTTTATGTGTTTTAATGTTTGCAAGTATTGGAACAGGAAGACATGGGAGTTAAGGTTATTTCTGGACTGTAAATACATATTTAAGTTATGAATTGTTATAAAGGGCAAATTTTCACACGGGTGTGTGGGGATTTGCTTGCATAATTCCTACTATTGTCAACCAAAATCAAGCTGGCTCACATGTCTAGCTCCCCAAACCATTTGTTTTTCTACAATGCCTTCTGAGAATGAATGTCTAATCATACTGATTAAATTTTAATGATAAAAATATTTGACATTAAACATCAATATTATAAAGTCATATTACTCCACACTGATGCAGTTATGGACATATTTTTTTTTCCTTTCTCCCCATTCCCAAACAGTATAAACTTATTTTGTTTCCTTGTTGCATATTTGATACTATCTTTCTTTTCTAACAGAGTTATACAAACTCTCTCCACTTATGTCTGGCTGTGGGCGGGTCGGGTTTGGAAGGGAAGTATCCCTTCGCTCAGCTCTGGCAGCTGAGCTAGCCTCTCACTGGCAACTACTAACTTTGCTCTTCTGCTTACAAAATGAGCAGATAGGTATGATTCTATGAAATTGCTGGCAAACTTTTATGAAAACTGCCAGTTTAAAACAAACAAAACAAAACAAACAGCAACAACACTGATAAAGGAGAACGACTTTAGATTGTAGAGATGAGAAACCAACATTGAAAGTTTTATCCATTCCTTGACTCAGTGCATTTTCTTCTTTGGTGCTGTACTGACTCCTATCCCCAAACAAAAAAGCAGAAATGCTTACTTGTAAATAAGGAAGGATCTTTATTAAGGGAGCGTAATGGTACAGACCCAGGAGCGATAAAAGAGCTATTCTAGTCCCAGAGCTTTCACAAAGCAAAGGGTGGGCTGGGCCAGTGGCCAAAGTGCATAAGTTCAGGGTAAGTTAGAAGAAGTTCAAGACTGCACAAGAGCTAAGTAGTTGTTCCAACACATTTCCCATGCCTATCTTTCCAGCTTTAAAGCTAAGGCAAGTTCTGCCCTTACTCACTGGGTCTTTATTCCTGTGTGAGCAGCTAGCCTGCATCCAGGTGTGTGTGTCTAGTCCCTTCTAATGAGGAGATGCCTTGTCATGGGAGGTGATGCTGAACAACCCCCTCCCCCGCCCAAAACCTGCTCAGCTGCCCCAGGCAGAGGCTCCATGCCCTCCTCAGATATT